AGGGTTTCGGATTCCCCTGGAACTGGAGTTAAGGACAGTTCGTGCTGCCATTGTGGGTGCTGGGAATCGAATCCCGGTCCTCTGCAAGAGCAGTCAGTGCTCTTAACCGCTGAGCCATCTCTCCAGCCCCTAGCTCTTTTTTAAAAATGTATTTTTTTTTTTCAAAGACAGGGTCTCCCTGTAACCCCCAGCTGGCCTTAAACTTACTATGTAGGCCAGGCTGGCCTTAATCTCACAGAGTTCTATAAGCCTCTGCCTCCCAAGAGCTGGGATTAAAGGTGTGTGCCACCATACCTGTGCCTGCCCACATGGCAGCTGTGAACCGTCCTTAACTCCAGGTCCAGGGGAACCTGAAGCCCTCTTCTGACCTCCACAGCATTGCACGACACGGGTGCCCTCACTTACACACAGGCAATACACTCATACACATTATATAAAAATAGTAAATAAAAAAAATTGTGTGTGTGCCTGGGCACACATGTGTACAAGTGTTCTCAGAGGCCAGAGTTGTCAGATCCCTTCTGAACCAGAATTACGGGTGGTTGTAAGCCACCTAACATGGGTGCTGGAAACCAAACTTGGATCCTCTGGAAGAACAGTATGTGTTCTTAACTGCTGAACCATCTTGGAGCCCCGACTAGTATAATCGTATTCATGGAATGTCACACAATTTTGTGGAATTCATTTTGGGCAAGGTTAGGATAGGATAAGTACTCTGGCCTTGGAGTTGAAAATCACAAGCTCTAAAGCATTTGAACCTCAGTTTAGAGTTGAACCTATCATACACACATCAGTGCACATATGTGCTGAGGAATCCCAGCTTAATCTGCAGGTGTGATTTAATGAACAAAAAGTTTAATTTCCAGGACTGGAGAAATGTTTCAGCAGTTAAGAGTACTGGCTTCCCCTGCAGAGGACCCAGGGTCACTTTCCTACACCTATATGGTAGCTAACCCTACATAACTCCAGTTCCAGGTGATCTGACACCTTCTTCTGGCCTCTGGGTATTGCATGCACAAGTCCACTTACATACATGCAGGCAAAACATTCATACACTTGAAAAAGAAATTTAAGTTAAACTTCCTTCTGACAGATATCACTTCATGTACTTAGAAACTCCCAAGACTGGTCTGAGAGCAGCCACTCTATCTGAACCTCTTTGTCAGCAGAAACCAGATTGCTCAGATTTGGTTCCTCAAGAAATAGTCAAATTGAAGGTTATGAAGTGTCAGTTTTCTAAGACATCTAGAATCAAGAAGCAGTTATCTTTATAGCCTGTGTCCCTTGATGGAAGGAAGGTTGCACAATGTGACCTTCAGAGCTGGCAGGAGGAGGAAGGGGGGAGCAATGTGTGTCTTTCCCAGGAAGTTATCTTCACACCTTCTAAATTGTTTTTTCAAACAATTTTATATATTTGAGGTTTACAGCATGGTGTTAGGGGATACGTAGAGTAAATGTGTACTACATGAGAACAGATTGCTGTATCATCTCACACTGTTAATGTTTTTGTTATAAGAGCAACTAACATCTGATTTAGCAAAAATTCCTAATCAATACAGTTTTTTTGAGTTGGTTCCTCCTGTTGTTAGTTCTCCAGATTTTCATCCTTCTGTTTTGTATCCTTTCATCTTCAGCTCTGCATTCCTTCCATCTTCCCTACCACCAAGGAGCAAGAGTCCAATCACATAGAGGAGGATAGTCATTAGACTGCAGATGGATTGCTCAGCCACCGGAGCATATGTTAATACAGTCAAACAATTGAAAGATAATAACCTGCCAGTGAAGAATACTATGTCCAGCGAAATGCTGCGAATGAAGCAGAATGTTTTCCTAGACAAGGAAAAGCTGAGGGAATTCATCACCATTAGAATACCCCTATAAGAAATATTGAAGGGTCAGGTGTGGGGGCACTTGCCTGTAATCCAAGCCCTAAGGAGGCAGAGGAAAAAGGATCATGATTATGAGACCAGGCTAGCACGGACTTCTCAGTAAGACTCCATGCCCTTTCCCCAAAGCAGGAGTGCTTCAACCAGAAACAAAAGGTTAGTAATTACTATCATAAAATGTAACTATATGCTGGCCTGGTGGTGCATGCCTGTAATGCCAGCATAGGGAGGCTGAGGCAGGAGGACCACAGATTCTAGGCTGGCCTAGGATGTATAGTAAGTCCCCATCTCAACAAACAAACATGCAAGTATGAATTCAGTAGTAGAGGTAAAAAAAAAAATCCTTACTCCAGCATATTCTGTTACTGCAATGGTGGTATATCCATCTTTGATAACTCTAGTGTGAAAGTTAAGTCAAAATGGCCAAAGATGATGAGTTGAAATATATAAAAAGATATATAATTGTAACAACAAAAAGATATAATTTAGACACCAGTATCCACATGGTGGCTAAACTATGGGACAGGGAAAATAAAAGACTGTTTACAACCAAAATTAAGTTTTTATTCACTTAAGATAGGGAAACTAAATTTTCTTTGTAGATTAAGGAAGCTGAGAAGACAGTCCTTTTGGCTTTAAAAAGCAGCCGAGGAATGTCCATTGCCAGCAGCAGCTGTGAAAGGTGAGTGGCTGACTGTGGTCTGTGGGGATCCAGTTCTTAGGCCACAGGGAACTTCACTTCTTCCTGAAGTGGCGTTTGACAAAAGTCCCCAGGGCCACCAGGGGGATGCACATGGTAGATGAGGCCACCAGCAGTCCGATGACAGCTAGTGCATATGGGGGGTAATCCTTGGTTACCACATGACCCTGCAAAAAGGGACAAGAGAAACCTTAACTAGTCCTGAGAGTACTACCCAGGCCTCGGTCCCTAATGAGGAGGAATGGCGTTCAGTCCTGTTTAGGTTGGAAAATGAAACATTTCCCTGCAGGCTCACATGCCATTGCCTGTCTGCAGCTGGCAGTTCTATTTTGATAGGTTCTAGTGACTATAAGAGGTGAGATCTTGCTAGAGATGTCACCCGGGATTGTGTCTTGTTTCTGGAGGTTTCCACTCTTTCCTGTCCCCAAGGAGTGAAGAACAGCCTCTGCCACATGCTCCCTCTGCATGTTCCAATTCCAGGCACATTAGGCCAAGAAGTCATGAACTGACCTTCTGAAACCATGAACAGATCTCTCCTCTTTGTAGTTGTCATGATGTCAGGATTTTGGTGAGTGTGATAACAAAAGTAACAGGAGGCTGAAGAGATAGCTCAGGGGTTAAGAGCACTAGCCGCTCTTGTAGAGGACTACGGTTCCGTTCCCAGTACCCACATGGTGGCTAACAGTAGTCTATACAGTTCAGGGAATCTGAGACCCTCTTTTGGCCTCTGCTGGCATTGCACAACACAGTTGTACTTATATACATGCAGCCATGAGTGTTTACTCATACCTATAAAATAAAAAGTAATCCAGGTGGGAATAGTTCTGTGGGCCAGCATGCCACATCTGGCTCTGCAGCTCACAACAAGCCTGCAGGGAAACCACTCTCACTTCTCTCTACTCCAAAAAAAAAAAAAATTCTGAATATTTCAACTCAGCGAGAGACAGTGTAAGGAACTCCCATGGAGAAGGCCACAGTAACAATCTAGTGTCTTACTCTGAGGCACCACTATGTAAAGGCACCCTTTAGCACAGACTAGAACTTTCTGTGGTGGTGGAATGCTCTGTATAAATCTGTCCAGTGTAGTGCCCTAGGGGAACCAGTACCAGGAACTGTCCTCATCCAGGGAAAGGTCCTCTAGGGCAACACACTGCTTGAGCATCTGTGAAACACCTGGGTCAAGTCCCATGCTGTCACTTGTAGCCTCCCCCACACAGCAGCAATGGTTCCTTGTGTCAGAAAACTGAAGGCCTGTATTCTGGAGAGACTTTGCCCGCCCAGCACCAGCCCCAGCTCTGCAGGGACATCAGGTACCTGAGTGGCATCCCAGGCTTGGTATTGCAGCGTCCCTGTGAGGATGTAGTCACTCAAGTAGAAAATAAAGAGGCCAACGATGAGCACAGGGCTCACGAAGGCCCACATAGCCTTCCAGTACCAGTTGAGAGCATGGCCAGTCATGGCCTGAAGGTCACTTTCAAATCTGTTTGGACCATGGGAAGAGGAGAGAGTCTGGGTTATTCATGCTCTGGAGGGAAGGTCTCTATCTTTTATACCCTCTGCCCTTAGGAAGATCCTGTTCTGGCCATCTGTGATGTTTGAGTGTGACTCTGAACCCACCTGCTCCTTTCCTGGGGGAAGTGTTGAGGTGAACGGAGAAGGGCTGAGGCTGCTAGAGTGAAGTGACCAAGTAGGGGACCTGAAGGCATTTCCCTGGTGTCGGCTTTCAGAGGAAGGTCCCCTGGTGTGGACCAGAGGGTAGCTCTGAGAGACAGTGGGAACAGGGTATGGGGGTGGGGGTATCCATCCATTCTGTCCGCAGGGGTAGGGGTCCCTTGAGTGATACTCTCTTTGCCCAACTGCTGTCTATTAGTGATATTCCCCCTAAAGATGGCCCCAGAGCAGAGTCACCTTGTGCTTGGAAGGGCCTGGCCTTGGCATGGAAGAGCAGGTGGAGTGGAACAGGAGCAGAGCTTCCAGCCTGGAGCCCACAGACCACCCTCAGCATTTGCACCATACCACACACTGATGTTTTTTCTCTTACTTGGCTCGTCCCTAAACGTAGCAACAGCACTCACTACAGCACTCATTTACCATGGATTTCAGGGGCCAGCCATATGCTGTCCCACTACCCACACTGTGAGTTTTAAATGTGCTTCAGACTTATGGACGAGCTGGATCAAGCAACTTTCCATTTCTCTAGAGATAAGCCATAAGCCAGGGAAGTGATGGGACTTGGTGAAGGAAAGTCCAGGGCACTTGCCAGGTCATCCAGAGCTGGATGAGTCCCAGCCTCGGGGCAGGACCTTGAAATCTCCTCCCTAGGTAGGTGTGGCTGGAGTCAGATAAGAGACCATTGTCAGCAGTCAAGCCACCAGCACCTGCCCCCATGCATGTCTCTGCTCTAGCACCTGTCTGTCCTTCTGTGTCCACATGCAGCTGTGCAGAGCTTTGCCTGCTCTCTCTGCTGTTAAGTGAGATGGACTCTAGCTCCTGACCACAAGGATGCCTGTGTACAGTGAGAACCCCTGGAACCATCACATGACACAGGTGAGGAAGTGATGGGCACCTCTGGTTTTTTCCTCTTTCCACTGCTGGATAGAGAAAGGTGGTGGAGGGCTGGAGAGATGGCTCAGCAGTTAAGAGCATTGGCTGCTCTTGCAGAGAGTCCAGGTTGGGTTCCCAACACCCACATGGTGGCTAATAACCATATGTAACTCCAGTTCCAGGGGATTTGACATTCTCTACATGCAGGAAATACACCCATACACAAAATAACTTAAAAAAAAAAAAAAAAAGGTGATGGCGGTGCCTGCAGCAGAGGACACTAGATGGCACTGTCCCCACAATGAGGACAAGGCCCCTCCTGCCACTGTCTGGAATAAGCTTTTGACAGAACAGCAGGGCTTCCTGTGTTTCTCCTTCCTCATCACTTTCCACCATGCCCTGTGAGATACAAATTTGTCTCCTCTGCTCCGACACCCTCTCCGTGACTAATCCCTTTTCTCCTGCAGGCCAGCATTTCCTGGGTGACCGTTTGTCCCACTTTACATTGGGAAATGTAGAAACTTGGTTACCTTGTTTCTAGGGCCTTCAAAATGTCATTAGCTGAGGAGAGGAGAGGTTGACATTAGAAGAGGAGAGGTCGACAGCCCAAGCAGGTTTTGGGAATGGTACAAGTCACAATCCTTCTCTTAAGTTTCCCAGTGTCAAGGCTCTGTGTCTAGAGGAAAGACACCAGTCTGACTTTACCTAACTTATGTCCTAAGTAAGTTGGTCCCGGGAGATCCCTCAGCATGTGGGACCTTGGTGCTTCAAGAGACAGAGGCTTCCCAAGGGACCGCCTGTGTGCTGGAGTGTCATGGCTGGTCTTACCCATGCCCAAACCAGCTTAGATCATCAGAAAAGACAGAGGAAGAAGAAGTGATGGCATGGCACAGCTCTCTGACCCAAGTCACATTGGAGCAGCCCCTGTAGTGTGCCTCTGAACCCCCTTGCATGGCCTCACTCCCCGGGACTGGGTGGCCTGAGGTTCTGGACTACTCAAGGGCTCCTTGTTGCTGTTGGTAAGGGACAACTGGAAAAGCAACATTGTGAACTATTTTGTGTGTGTGGCCCCAGAACACTTAGGGATGTTCTAGAAATGCCAGCCATGATACTTTTTTCCAGACCATAGCCAGATAGCTAATGAATGAGGCTCAGTGGTCCCCATTTCATCAGCCCCCAGCTTGAAAGCTACCCCATTCTGGCCCCAGGTGCACACTCCACCATCACCCAGGAGACCTGAAACATCTCAGTGCTGGCCAGGGCACCAGGGTAGAAATCTGACCACATCTATAGGCCGAAGTTTGTTTTTGTTTTTGGTCTTTTTGAATACAGAGGCTGGCTTCGAACTCACAGAGATCCACCTGCCTCTGCCTCCCGAGTGTTGGGACTAGGGTTGTGATTCTGCTGGATGAGCAGAGATTCTAGTCCTGGAGGTGGAGTCCCTGCCCAGAAAGCCAAGGGTGCAGTAGGGCCACCAGAGAAGCTTGCCAGGATACAAAGGGAAAACAGGAAAGAGAAAGAAATTTGCAGGCTAACTGAGGAAGCAAGAGGCAGCTGAGCTCTAGCAAAGTAACAGCTGCAGCATCTCTAAGGGACATGCTCACTGAGCAAGGATGGCCCTGCATCTGATCTGCCCCCTGTAGCAGGCACGGGCTGGGCCTCCTCACCTCTTCAGCCCATACACGTAGCACACAGCGATGGTCTCCACCAGCACGATGAGCAGCAGGGACAGCGTAGCTGCGTAGTCGTTGAATATGTCAAACCAGTAGTTGCCGGCCTCCATGGTGAAGAGCATGCCGATGGCACAGTTGACGAGGCACACCAGACCTGGACACAGGAGTGCTGTTCACCTGCCTGAGCCTCCCTGCCAGTCACCCCAAGTTCTAAGGCAGCAGGAGCCACAGCAACCTAGCCAGTGGGTACCACCACATGGGCTGGAGGAGCTGCTCTGCAGGGGACATTAGCGCGGGAAAAATAACAGTGGTGACTGCACATGTAATTGGGCTGCACAAACCCACTCATAGGAAGGATGCCAAGTTCTGGGATGATCTGAGAAAAGGAGCAGGGCAGCTCCCACTGGGTGGTCAGAACATGATCAGACAGAGCTGTGTTTCACACACCCTGGATGTAGAGTCATGGAGCCATCTGAGGCAGAGATCGCTCCCTACAGGGTCCTCATGACCCTGGTTGGGTGGGATGGTGGTGGAGTTAAAATGGGCGGTCATCCTGAGAAGGGCTGGTTCCTTCACTGACTCCTGAAGGTCAGCATAATGCATGAAGAAGTGGTAAGGTTCTAACAGTGGAGTATTTGACAGGACCAGGGACTGACAATTGCTGCTGGCAACTACTTGGTGGAAGACAGATTGTGAGTGAAGACAGCATGCCCAGATCGTGTCCTCTATGACTTCATCAATAACCAGGTCAAGAGGGAAGCAGACTAAAACTAGTAGCATTAGATGTCAGAAGAGGGGAGATCTGTTAGGATGCTTATTGCCTAGAGAGGGTGTGAAGGAGCTTCTTGGGGTGTGGGAACAGGTCATTGCACTCGCCTTAGGAAATGCACAGTTCATGATTGTGGCTCTTCAGTTAAAACAAAAAGAAACATGGGCCCTCAACCTGGAGAGAGCTTTGTATGCCTGGGGAGCTGGCCTTTTCCCAAGGCTAGGATGACTGCCTCACTTCCCTGGGATGTGATGAGTTCTTGGGTCAGGTCCCAGGATTGAGGAGCACACTGGAGCAGGTGCACAGCTAGTCTCTGCAGCCCTTCCTACAGTGTGGAAACCCATCCACTGATTGCCTTGCATGTCCCCACCCACCCTGCCCTGCCTCCTCTGTTTGGTGTTCCTCTGACCTGAGATAGCCTCCTTTGGCAGGTAGCTGGAGATGACTTTGCTGTCAGTCAGAGGAGTGAGGATGGCTGTTCCTGTTCCCACCATGCTCCCCATTCCCAGCGTCAGCAGCATGAAGAAGTAGAGCACCGACCACAGCTGGGACACCTCCATGTTTTTAATGGCCTCAGTGTAGACAATGAAGGCCAGGCCCGTGCCCTGGACGGCCTGTCCATGGTGAGAAGATACCAGTTACACACTTGAGGCACCAAATTTTGGCAGTCTCCAAAATATGTTCAGTGCTAAGCAACTTAGGACTCTGGAGCTGGCCATATTTTGAGCTTGTTTCCTCTACTTCAGCCTGGTTCCTGGGGCTCAACTGGACTGACTAAAATTTGCTGCCCCCCCTTAATGGCATAGTGCTGATTATAAGGGTGCATAGAATTTTAAGAAGTTGGTAGCTGTGTCATTATTATTGATTCAGGGTTTTTGAGAGTGACAGGACCTGCCACAGCCCAGTTGGGCTCGATCGAGTTCCTAAAATGCTGAATAGTCACTGTCATCAAATGTTGACCTGGGTCAGTGGCTCTGCCTGAGTTCATTGTCACATTAATGAAGATTACCTATATTCTCGTGGGCATGTGCAATGAGAAGCAAGTTTTATTAAGAATTATTACAGAAAATGAGAAATTAAGGAAAAGACAAAGTGGGAGAAGTTCCAAGAGGGGGAAAACCATTAGCTTTCTTGTCTGCAGTTCTTATAGGACAATGGCAGACACTGGACAAAGGCTGAGGTAATCTCTACTGGGATTTGTTAATTCCATGGGCTATGATAGGCCAAGCCAATGGAGGGCCCACTCACTCTATGCATATCCCACTGCACTGCACAATCAGAGAGATGATTATGTGCTCTTCATCCATAGCCCACCAAGTTAGGAGTGGTTGAAGCTCCACTCTGTCCCTCTGTGACTTCAGCTTTGTTAATTATTAATCTTGCCTGCTAGCTGTTAGTCACTGGCTGATACCTCTGACCTTGCAGGTGTCTTGTGTGCTGATAATTAAGCTAAACATTCTTTGGTCTCACATTTACATAATTAGCTTGTAGCTTTACCATGACAGAGAGTTAAATGCACCAAATTATAGCTGCAGTCTTTCTTGGTTACCTGATACTTGGCTTCTTTGTTTATGGGGTGGTCTGAGGTGATCTAGGCAGAACCTGCTTGTTAGAAGCCATCCCTATTTACAATTTAGTGTGATATAATTAGCTGCATTAGAAGCAAGATTATATGAAATTATACTAGTACCTGACATGTGTTTCTTAAGAGCTTTGTTGAGGGACTGGAGAGATGACTCAGTGGTTAAGAACACTTGCTCTTCTTCTAAGAGGATCCAGGTTCAATTCCCAGCACCCACTTGGCAGCTAACAACTGTCTGTAACTCCAGTTCCAAGGGATCCAGCATCCTCTTCTGGCCTCTGTGGGCACTGTACACATGCAGTGCACTTACATGTATGCAGGCAAAATACTCATATACATAAAATAAAACTATTATTTTAAGAAGAGCTTTTTTGAGTGTGCCAGCTTGCTGTCGCTGGCCCAGAGCCTTGTCCTCCTCTTGTCTGTCTAGCTTGGTTGTCTCATGTCCAATAACAAGCCCTATATTCATCTTCCTTAGTGCTCTAGACTCTGTGTGTTAACCCTGAATCTTCTTTTAACCCCCAGCCTCTGTTCTCACTGCAACGTGTGAGCAGCTTGCAGTTTTCACTGTGGTCCCTTTTTCCTTGCTGCAGAGAGCTAGCTCTTGCACCACAACGAATCAGCCTTTCTGACAAGGTCAGGTATGAAAAACTCTTCTACAGTGGCCTTCTCATTTTCTTGCCTATGGTCACTACTATAACAGTGATGTGTGAAGCGTTTAAAGAAACAAGATAAAATTACAGTGATAAACATGTGCAAAAAAATAGACAATGCTGAGGGGAAAATAGAGTTTTAAATGAGAATACAAAATTACTAAAAGGCAAAATTCACAGTTAAATACCAGATTTGATGCTGCTGAAGGGAGAATTAGTGAAATGGGATCTATATTCAGGGAATAAATTCACAATAAAACACAATCTTATACTACTTACCTAAGAAATTGTGTTAAATAAAAATAAAAGATAGCAGAGAAGGGAAGAGGCCTGCAGCATATTATAAAAAGTTTTAAGATACGAAGTTCCAAAAGGAGAAGAAAGAGAATAAGAGGCAATGCTTACGAGATAACAGGTTTGAATTTTTTAAAATTTATAGGAAACATGGGTCCATAAATCCAGGAAGTCCAACATCATTCAGGCCTAGATTGGAAAATGAAAGCTACATTCATGCCTCTATTGAGAAGGCAAAAGACCAGGGGAAGACGGTAGCAGGATTCAGACAGAAGTGCTGGCTAACAGAAGATGAAAGAAACTTTGAACAATAATGGAAGAAAGAATCACAAGGCAAATACCAGACACTGTTGAGAGAAAACAATTGTTACCCTCAAATTTGCATACAAACCAAACCTAAGAATATTTATTTCTAAGAAAACTTAAGGCTGGAGAGATGGCTCAGCAGTTAAGAGCACTGATTTCTTGCAAAGGACCAGGGTTCAATTCCCAGCACCCACAAGGCAGCTAACAACTGTTTGTAACTCCAGTTTCAGTGGATCCAACACCCTCTCCTGACTTCTGCAGGCATTGCATGACGTGGGTACACTTACACACATGAAGGCAATACACTTACTTATACACATAAAATAATAAAAAAAAAAGAAAACTGCTCTAAAGGAAGGTGTTTTAAGGGAGCACCCCAACCCCAAAGAGTGTTGCAATGCCAGAAGGAATGGGGAATAAAGTGGCTAACATGTAGGTAAATATAAACACTGTGTAAAGAATACCAGGTCCAATCCATGGGCTGTAAATTGGGTGTAAATTGTTCTTGTCGTCTGTGGGAAGTCAAGATATTATCTAACTTGAGACTTTAAATATGCATGGAAATTTTTCAAGAAGAGGAATCAGATACCTAAAATCAAAACAGTAGAGACAATGAAGGAAGGAGGGAGAGAGCTGGGAAGGAAAAGGAGGGAAGGAAAGAAGGAAGTCTCAACAAGACTCCTCAGTGCCTAGAAACAGAACCTTGCTGGGAGTGAGCACGGAAGCCAGAGGCCTTGACAGCTCGGTTTGGGGCTAGTGATGTGATTAATGTGTGTGTGTCTGGGAAGGGAGGTTTGTGCCTCCGGATTGCGCAGTAGGGTCTGGGCCTATTGCCTCCCCCATGACCTGGAGTGTCTCCCACATATGAAACAAAATCCCAGTCTGCCAACCAACAAAAAATACCAACCTCCAAATTGGTTTTCTGACAACCAGAACTTTGGGTCTTCTATATTTTCTATTCTTTTGTTTTCTCGTTTTTGTTTTTTCAGGATGGGATCTCCCTGTGGTCCCAGCTGGCCTGAACTTGCTATGTAGACCAGGCTGGCCTCCATCTCTGCCTGCCTCTGCCTCCTGAGTGCTGGGACTAAAGGCGTATGCCACCACACGTGGCCCTATTCTTGAAAGGTACTTCTAAAAGTAATCTCTAGAAACATTAATATAAAATACAAAAATGAGGCAAATAGTCCCACTATCCAGCCCACTTCATTTGTGGCTGGAGTCTTATGAGTGCAATGAAGAAAAGAAAATGAGATATATAAACATTAAAAAAAAATATAGCTGGGCAGGGTAGTGAATGCCTGTAAACCCAGCACTTGAGAGGTAGAGGATCACGAGTACAAGACCAGCCTAGGGTATGAGGCCCTTCTCAAATAAGTAAAGGCCAGGCATGGTGGCCCATGGTCCCAGCACTCAGGAGGCAGAGGCAGGCAGATCTCTGTGAATTCGAGGCCAGTCTGGTCTACATAGTGAGTTTCATGCCAGTTGAGGCTACAGGGAGACCTTGTCTCAAAAAAACCAAAGAAAAAAGGGAAGTGGGGGAAGAAGAGGTGTATTTGGAGGTAATATGCTGAGTTTTGTTTATTTTTGTTTTTGTGGCTCCATTCTTAAATGGAGCCCTGAACCTCATGCATGCTAGGCTGGTACTCTACCACGGAGCCACACTTCATACAAATACAGTGGCTATGATGGTTCATTTTGCTTGTCAACTTGGATTAAGAAATGCCTAGGAGATCAGGAAACACTCCTTTGGGTATGTCTGTATTTCCAGAGTCAGTTAGAGCATGAGGACTCAGAAGCATTCATAATGAGAGGGCATCATTGTTGGTAAAGATCATTTTGATGGAGGAAGTAGGCCACTGTGGGGCTGTATCTTGCCCAGGCACCTCTCTGTGTTCATTTTCTCAGCTTCCTTTCTGCCGAGAAGTGGAGGACAAGCTCCAGGCGCAGAAGGCCAAGCGACCACAGCCTGGACCCTCCAGACCTGTGAGCAGGAGTAAATCTTTCCTCCCTTTAGTTGTTTTGTCAGCTACTTTGGTCTTAGGAATGAGGAAAGCAACTAGCATGGTTGTCTACACAGAAAAGAGAAGTCTGTAACAGTATGAGAATTCATAAGAATTCAAGAAGGCCACTAGGAGCAAAACTGACATAAAGAGCTTTAGCTTTCATCGTAAATAAGTGACAGAAATGAGGGGAAAGATGGCAGTTACAAGGGACAGAACACAGGTGATCCAGGTCTAATCAAGATGTTCTGAGTCATTCATGGAACTAGGCGGCCTAAGTAAATGGGAGAAAACCTTTGAATAAAAAGCTACAAGTCAAGTGACAGTAAGACTTCTAAATTTCATGATAGGATCAATGCAGTTCTAATAAAAATTCCTTAAGAATCCTTTAAGGGGAGCTGGAGAGGTGGCTCAGCAGTTAAGAGCACTGACTGCTCTTGCAGAGGACCCTTATAACAACTATCTGTAACATGTGGCACTCACAAACATGGAGGCAAAAACACTCATACACATAAAATCTAAAAAAAGAGAGTACCTTAAGGAATTTCCCCTCAGTGAAATTTGCCAAACTGATACTAAACTGAAAGTGGAAAAAAAAAAAACCTCCCAGCACAGCAGAGATAATTCCATGAAAAATAAATAAGTGCGATTAGACTAATGATCTCCCAGCACCACTGCTTTAAAAGATGTCACTTCAGCATATACATGGTAATATATCACATTGCCTGTGCAGATCAGAGAAATGTGGGCAGGTAGCACAGGAGACTTTGACTTTCACCCTGCAGTCTTCTCTTAAAAATCTTGCTATGTAGCCCAGGCTGGTCTCATACTTCTGCCCCTGCTGCCCCAACCTGCTGACTAGAGGGATTACCAGCATGAGCATCAATGAGGGGGCATTCTTTTATATATATATAAACCTGAAATAATAAAAGACTTCCAGTTTTCATTTGAGAGGCAGATCTATATGTGTATGTGACATTATCCCCTGCTTTTCCCGTGTTATTAAAACTCCAAAGGAAAGAGAAGAAGGAAAAGACTCGGAGTCCAAGAGAACTTTCTAGTGAGGAGGATTCCAAGTTGCACCCAGGGAAGCTGGAGTCCAGTGTCTCTTCTCTAGGTTGCAGAGCAAACAACCCAGTTTCTCATCTTCACAGACTGTGCAGAGGCTGTGACAGGTGCCTACGAGCTGTATGGAGAGAAGTGGTCCCGGCCCTACCCAGGCCCCTTACCGTGTTCAGCTCTGATTCCAGGCTGCAGTTTCTGATGTGTGGGAACACCTCGCTGTACTTGCTCGGGTAGGTAGACGCCAGGTAGTCCTTCACCTCCTCCAGGTTGCTGGCTGTCAAAAAGCCATCTTCAAGGTCAAAAGAATTGGTCAGCAGCAGAATCACCCTGCAGAGCAGACCACCAGCTTGATCTTCATGACTAGAGAGGCCTCTGGCCCCAAAGCCTCAGGGAAGTGTGGGCGCTGGGCTGCTCTGTCTCCTCTTCCCTCCTGCCCAGTGAGGTGAGGGACTCTAGACTGATGATCCTGCAACTCTGAATGTCTATGAAGAAGCCTCAGATCTGAGCAGAGATGAGGACAGGGACCACTCCCCCACAATGAGGCTGTTAAATATCTGGGCCAGTGACAGGATGGAATGGGGTGGGATGGTGGAAGTGTTCTATACTTATGATCGATTTAGTACGAGCCATAGGTGGTGACAGAGCACTTGAATGTGGCCAGGGCTACTGAGGGACTGATTAAAAGTAAATTTGAAATCTCTAAAATTTAAATTCATATCAGTATGCAAGTTAAGCCATTTCAATGTATATCAGCTTCCATTAATTTCAACCCTTATGTGGAAATAAATAGTTATTTTTGGTTACTGACTACCCTGCTGAACATCTTAGCTTCCAGAAGGTGGTCCTATGCTTCGAGGGGGAGCCACATACATAAATTGTGTAACCTCTGTGTCTTGACTAAAGAGGTGTTGATTACACTTGAGATGAGGAATGGGACAGGAAACTGTGGAGTCATTTGCTGAAAGCCCTGTCCTTCAGGCTAAGTGCCCTCAACGCTTAAACTGCCCTTTCCCTGTGAGGCAAACCTTGACTGCATGGCCTCTCAGTTTCTGGTGGAAGGCAGCCATTGGTTAGGTGAGAAAAGAGAGTTGATCCTTATACTGTAGACATCAACTTGAGTGTTGACTTCTGTGAACCCAGCCTTTCCCAGTCACTCTGTCAGAGTTTGAGGGACTTGTCCCCATCCACCCCCCTTAAGGCCCAGGGCTCTGAAGGACAGACTAGACTCACTTGTTTAAGCAGTTTTCATAGTTGAAGGTGGCCTTGAAGCCATAGATGGAGAAGGTCACGATACAGGAAAATATGGCAGTGGAGCTGTTGATGATGGACACAATGATGGCGTGCTTCTGGCAGTTGTTGGAGGGCTCGTTGTAACTGGCAAAGGCAATCAGTCCACCACACCCCAAGCCCAGTGAGAAGAAGATCTGTGTAGCTGCATTGATCCAGGCCTTGGGGTTGGCCAGCTCCTTGATCTAAAAGGCCGGCAGGGATAAGGCTGAGGAATCCTGGGTCCCATTTCCAGATTCTCCCTCCCAAGAGAGGGAGGCCCAGAGAGGGGGAACAAATTACCTCCAGGCCATAGGCAGGCATGGCCACCTGGGGCTGGAGCCTAACTCTCCTGCTCTGGCCTCTGTTCAGTATATTCCCTGGCAGATGAACAATGTGGCTAATCTTCAGGTCATATCCTGCACAGAAAGTAACCTAGCCCCCTACCCCCAGGGGTATTTGGCTAAGAATAAAGAAAGCACTGTTAAATATTGTCAGGACACTGTTAAGTATAGTTAAACACTTTATTGTTAATGATAAGCTTTAATAGACGCACTTGTTAATGTTTACTTTGCATTTAAATAGCTGAAATGTTAGAGACTGGAGTGATCTGACTGTATTTGAAAGATGCTAGACCCTTTCTTGATGCCCCACTCTCTTCATGGAGTACTATCAGCCTCCTGCTAGCCCAGAGGCTGTGAGCACTCTGAGGCAGCCTTGAGGAAGCAATACTGTTTCACAGCTACTTGCATCCCAAACCCATCACTAATCTAGAAGGTTCTATTCCAGCCTTGATTGTTTCAAACAGCTTCCACCCTCCTTCCATTGCAGTCTAGCTGAACCCCAGCAGCCATTTTCATCTAGACCAGAGGGGAACTGCTTTCGCTGCTGTCTCAGAAGAGGTCCTGCTCTTGCTGCAAACAGTCTTTCAATTGCACAAAGACTGTTGTGACTGGTGCAAACACCCTCTTTCTGGCTATATAAGGGGTGCTTGTCTCAGTTTCTGAGTTAGCTGTGCTGCTCTTGATGGTACAACATTAGGCCCCATAATAGGCTTCTTATGAGTGAGGATTTCTGGTTGGTTGTGTAGCTATTTCCTCTAAACCCTCCCTCCTGGAGGAAGTCTCCTTAGACTCAGGAGGTAAACAAAACCTGTAAGTCTCTAGAAGCACCTGAAATCTATAAGACTCACAAGGCCCCTGGCAAGGTCATGTAAGTAGTAACAACTGCTGGGGAGAAGAGACTAGCTTTGCAGGGGGCTCTAAGGATGTAGTTTTGTGAATCATTGCCCATGCTGTATGGGCTTTTCTGTGATGAGGCTGCTTGTGAGTGACCCATGAGTAAGTAACCCTAATAAACTCACTGGTTCACTAAGCTAGACTTGGACAGACTCCACTGGTCTGTGGTCTATGCCCTATCTAGGGTAAATAGGTATTTGTTCAATCTCCCTAGAAAAAGTCATGCAACACCTTATTATTAGAGTTGGCTGAAGGGGAACAACAAGAAGAGACTGTGTGTCAGGAGAGGCAGAAGGGAAGGTGAAATCATCATCATCACCATCACCATCCTCATCACCAATACCACCCCACCACCTCCATCACTACCACCACCACTACCATCATCATCATCACCATCACCACCACCACCACCATCATCATCATTACCATCACCACCACTACCACCATCATCATCATCACCACCACCATCATCACTACCATCACCACCAACACCACCATTATCACCATCACCACCACCACTACCATCACTACCATCATCATCACCACCATTACTATCATCATCACCACCACCATCACCACCACCACCACCACCACTACCACCATCATTAGCAGCAGCGATGGGGCAGCTGAAGAGTCCTGGAGAGTGACCACCGGCAGGGAGCAGAGGCCTCAGAGACAAGAAAGGCTGTGAAGGGCTGAAGACAAGAAACTGCCTAGGTTGCTGGATGCGTTCCAGGAAGTCGCAAAGCTAAGGGCCAAGGATCTAAGACACCCTTTGAGAGCTATCACACTAGCTGAGGGAGTCCACTGAGGGGTGCACAGCTGTTTCCAGACATGAGATTTGCTAAATGAATAATGTACCTTATTCCCATTGAAGAGTGATGGCCTCAGGTGCCTGGAGAGAGGGGGTTAAGGAAGGGATCAAGGCAACCTGAATGGAAAGGGCCTAACTTAGGATGGGAACAGATGAGGGAGATGACTGGAGACTGGAATAGTATCTGTAGTCACCAGCTCAGTGGAGAATCTAGACAGGGCTTTGGGTGAAACCTGTGAGCAGGGAGGCTAGAAGGGAAGCACAGGCACCAGTTATCAGTGGCAGTAAGGACAGCGAGATGATAGAAGGTTTAATGTCTCAGAATGCCCAGGGCTGGGGATGCCCTATCTGAGGAGCATCCACAGTCCCCCAGAGCATCCATAGCCATTGGCTCAGCCTCACACCAGCCTCCCTGGTTACAGCTTCTCTTCCTTCTTCAATTCCTCTTTCCAGGCATTTCTGAAGCCTGTACCTTAGGCGTGAACATGTACACCAGGCCATTGGTGGCTCCATGCAGTGTGAGGCCCCGAACCAGATAGATGATGAGCACGCAGTAGGGCAGCGATGCAGTGAAGTAGACCACCTGTGGACTCCCAGAACAGAATCAGCTTCAGTTTGGAGGGAATAGCTATCAATAGTAGGTGAGAAAAGATCACTCAAAATTATCAAGATGTGTCATTTAAATGAATATACTATTTGTACAGAATAGTTAACTCAAAATATGTGAAATTAAATTTGATAAATGCTGTGAGCAAGTTAAAAAGAAGAAAAGCTCACTCGAGAAATCTTCATAGGGCCTAATGCTACACCCCAGAGAGCAGCACAGCTAACTTGTAAACTGAGCCAAGCACCTGCTATGTAGAAAGAAGGTGTTTGTACCAGTTAGAACAGTCTTTGGGCCATACTTCTTGGGTATTTGAACTGTATCCAAGGCTGGTGACAGCTAGAAAAAGCACTGAAATTCTTTCACAGGGTTTGAAAGCTGTCAGAATAAAAATGGGGTCACTTTTATCTACTCTCGCATAAAAGTAAATAAAGCCAGAAGGCCATGAAAGAAGGTCCTTACATATGACCACAAGATAGTCACTGTTACAAAAACACCAGAACAACAATGAACTCTGAAACACACCTAGAAAAGAACTTTCAAGGAGGTCTGTTTAGCAACTGCATTCAGTCTGGCACTGAGGTGTTCCTTGGTGTCAATCATTGTGGCCAAGGACTTAAGTCTCAAAACATCTTGCATAATCCCCCACATATTTGCCTTTAATTTCCCCTCTGCCTCCATGAACACACCTATAGTTCACTATGGCACCCATCTCTCCACAGCCTCTGTGAATACACACATAGTTTAGTATGGCCCTGTTCTAGTTCTCTTTCTGTTGCTGAGGTGTTAACACTCTGACCAAAGGCAACTTAGGGGAGGAAAGGGTATATTTGGCTCACACTTCTAGGTCACAGTTCATCATTGAGGGAAGTCAAGGTAGGAACTTTCTATGCATTGAAGTAGAAACCATGGAAGAATGCTGCTTGCTAGCTGGCTTGGTTGCAGACTCATGTTTAGCCACCTTTCCTATACAACCCAGAACCACCTGTCCAGGGAATGGTCCTACTCACAGGGGTCTGGCCCTCTTACATCAATTAATAATCAAGACAATCCCACAGACATACCCACAGGCCAATCTGATCTTGGAAATCCCTCAATTGAGACTCCCTTTTCAGGTGACTCTTAAAGGGAGATTGCACAGCCCCCCACCCATACCTGCTGAAAGGCCTAATCGAAGTGTTGTTAGCCCCCGTTTCAAAATATAGCCCCAGAACATACCACCAGCAACCATAAAGCACTTCCTGTTCTGAAAACAGGTCTTTCTGCGAAAAAAACACTTATATGAACAATGTGGGGCCCTAAGCCGTTTACAAACACCCCTACCTACCTAACTCTCATGACTCTGTCTCCACATACCAACATACTTAAACTCCTCTGTTGCTTGACTGGTGTAGCTGGTATGCCGATTCCCATCAGTCAGCTCCTACCCCCCATTGGCTATAGTGAAAGTCTGTCTGGATTGTCAAGTTTGGCTGCTTGTGACTCCCTATTCCTAATATTTTTGGTGCTGAAACCTGCGAAGATCATCTGAACAAGAGCCTCTCTCTAATACCTCTTCTCTTCTCCTCCTTTCCTTGTCCCCCACTGGACTCTTATTGTCCCACTCCCATCCCAAGCCAACTTCAGCTAAATGGCAGCCAGTATGTGACCTGGAGACCTCACCACATGTGTGGCCATACTTTTTTGCAGCCTCATTGCCACATAGGCAAGGAAGGTCTTTGTCCCGACAAATGTATTGGTTGCTTTGGAGTACCTGTAAGGAAACTATCTAAAGCTTCTTGTATTATCCCCCACCCCCAATGACCTCCAATCCAGAGGCTCTTTGCCATTTGCTGCAAGCTGCATCCAACACCTTTTCTGACCGCAGTGAAGGTAAGGATCAGAGGCACCCTGAATGTCTCCTTCCATATCCTGGGAGTCCTCATCTATTTTGTTGTTGTGGACATCTGATCTTTGCATCAAAACTACTCCTGGCTCTTTGCCTCTCTGGCCTTTCCCTGCCCCCAGGAGATGCCTTGTTGCTGTGGACTCTGCCCTCTCCCTACTTTTATTGCCTACTATGGAGTCCCAACTATCAATCTCATAAGATAACCCACTGGCCTGTCTCAGAAAAAAATCTCCCACAACCAGGCTTTACTGAACTAAAACCTATACAGCTGATCTGCATATGCACTGAAACATGGTCTAAATATCAACTCAGAAATATTTGTCCTGAATTCAGAACTTTCAGTTCTGCCATTTTATGGGACTTAGATAACTTCCTCCAACGAAATGGCAAATGGTCTGAGGTTGTGTGATGGATAGCTTGAGTTCTCAACTTGACACACCTGGGAAGAGGGAACCTCAGTTGGGGAATTTCCTCTATTGGATTGGCTTTATAGACATGTCTGTGGGGCATTTTCTTTCTTTCCTTTTTTTAAAATATTTTATTTTATGTGTATGAGTGTATTGCCTGCATGTATGTGAGTGCACCCATGTTGTGCAATGCCACGGAGGTCAGAAGAGGGCTTCAGATTCCCCTGGAACTGGAGTTAAAGATGGTTTGTAGCCACCATGTGGGTGCTGGGAATCGAACCCGGGTCCTCTGCAAGAACAGTCAGTGCTTTTAAACGCTGAGCCATTTCTCCAGTCTTGGGGCATTTTCTTGACTGTTGAGTGATGTAGAAGGGCTCAAGCCACTGGGTGATGCCATCCCTGGGCAGGTGACCCTGTGTTGTAAAGGAAAGCAGGCTGAGCCTCCCAGCTCCTGAACCTGTGGGAACAGCGAGTGGGACCAGGCTCACCTCTACCAAGGCTGGTGGTGTAGGCCAGCTAATTGATGGCCCAGGCTGTAGCAGGGACATGCAGCCACACACCAGCAATGTGGTCACTGCCTGGCGTTTCCAGGACCACGGAGAGACTGTTGCATGTATGCATTCTAAGAGATGCCTTTGACTTTGTCAGCCCAACTTAAATTGCCAACCTCATCATGGAGAAGCAGCACTGGCCCTTCACCTCTAGTGACTTCTGCATGGTCATGGCATGCCTTTTGGTGTCATCTTTGGTGGAGCTGATTTAAATGAGGATGCCAGTCACAGAGAAAAAAATGAAGTCATGGGGAAAGTTCTGGAGGAAGCCAAGTTTTCCATATCTTTCACAGAGTCAATGAAGGTCACAGCACAGATGCAGTGGCCACATGCTATGGGTAAGATATTTGTCCAGAGCCGAGGAATTGCAACACCACCAAATGCCTCCTTTAACTGGAACACCTTCCTCTAACACTCAGATTGACCAAATTGCTGACAACCTGTATGTGTTCCTTCTGATATAGGCAAGTGAAGGACCCTCTGTACTTGGTGAACACATTCTCAGAATAGCATCAAGAAATACCCAATGTTTACATGGTGATCATTGGTCTTGAGGTAGATCTGGCATTTACAAAGGATGTTAAAAACCAGGTGAGAAGGGCTTCTGGGGTGCAGCTGATCAGAGAAATGAGCCAGGAATATCTGCATGTGGTAGTGAAGAGCTGTTCTGGTTAACAGCTCTATATTTGAGGGCATGTTGGTGGCCATCCTGGAGCTGATGGATTTGGAAGTGTTTGTACTGGCCAAAAACATCCCCAGGAATGCTACTGTGATGGAGCATGGAGTCACAGGGCTGCTCTTTGCAAACCCTCAGGAGTTCAGTCAGCTGGCAGAGACTGGTTAGCAATCCTGAATTGGAGAAGAAAATTGTGGCCAATGGAAGGAATGTGTGAGGAGACATCATTCCTGCAGGTGGAAAGACATACCTACCAGCATCTCATCAGGAAGCTGGAGACAGCTGGGAGGATTAAGTGATGGAAGCCTGGATTTGCCATGCTGGGCTTGGGGTGGACACCAAGAGATGGGAGCCAGTCTTGGACCATTGGAATCATAAAGTCCCTAGCAATACCACATCCACCCCAACCCTGTGCTACAGACACAGTTGCAGAAATGCTTACAGCTCAATCCTGGGTGGGCTTATGACTGGAGCCTGAAAGTGCCTACGGCTCAGTCCCAGAAGTGCTTACAGCTCAGTGCAAATGATAGAGGTGCATCTCAGGGACTTTTTGGGGAGAATTGGAAGAACAGCTTTTACAACTTTCTTGTGGACAATAGAGGCTTATTATTATTATTATTTGGTCTTTTTGAAACGGTATTTCCCTGTAGCCCCAGCTGGCCTGGAACTCACTATGTAGACCAGGCTGGCCTCGAACTCATAGAGATCCACCTGCCTCTACCTCCCAAGTGCTGGGACTACAGGCATGCGCCACCATGCCCGGCTGAGGCTTATTTTTAAGCAAGCACTGCAGACCCTTCTCCTGTCTGCTGAGTGTATCCTCCAATAGCTGAGTGACCTATGCCTGTCACTTCCTGTTCATGAAGCAGAGACAAAAAGGTCAGGACCGTAACTATGTGGAACCGGCAACAGTTTTGATGTGACAGTGACCTGAAGCCCATCCCAGGATCCTCAGACATTTGGGGGTCTGGGCTGCTTCAACCATTGTGCTGATCTAAGAGTCCTGGATGTTTCACTCCTCACTGGTGCACCCAGGAGATTAACTTGCTTCCCAGAAGAGGCCAGCCTTCCCTGCAGGCCCCACCCACCTCCCGTATCACATCAGGGAGGCTAGATGATTGGATAGCCTGTATGATGGAGGCTGGACGCTTGATTTTAGTGTGGGTGTGCTTCCCTCGACCCACAGGATCGGAGGACAAGTACTGAATGGCTCAAAAGCTTCCAGCCAATGGTAGGACTGAGACCATGACTGTGTGATGTCATCAAGGCATGGGGCAGTAGGGGGGTATTTATAATGGAGGCTCCCCACACTGGCACATGGTTTCTCCTGTATCCTCCAATAGCTGTGTTCTGGGAGCAACTCCACTGAGTGCTGAGACCGTTGGACATCCCTTCCATTCCTCCCCCTCCCACCAAAAAATGTCTCCTCAACTCCTTCCTATTAAGGCCAGACTGGGCATCTCCTCTGTCCACAGCACAGGTATAGTGGAATAACTACCTTCACCTACGACTTCCAACAGCCATCCAAACCCCTGTCAGACTCCCTAGATGAACTTGCATCTTCCATCACCATCTTCCAAATTAGATAGACTCTCAGGGGTCGGTCTCTAAAACCAACAAGTCTTAGACATTTTGACTGCTGAAAAGGGAGGCGCCTGTCTCTCCCCCTAGGAAGAATGCTGCTTCTACATCAACTAGTCAGAAATAGAGACAAAAAGACTGTAAGACAGAACTTTGTAAATATTCAGAAATGGGAAGACTTTGGTCTGGCACAAGACAATGACTGCCCTGCTTGGTCCCCCTCTTGGGACCCCTAGTTTGTACCCTCCTTTTAGTCATCACTACACCATGCTAAACTGTCTCCAAAGATTCTTACAGAATCACATGACTGCAGTAACCCATATGGCTGCCCAAGCTACCACCCAAGACCAAATCAAGACCATGTTCCTGGTCCACACCATCAGAGGACTTCCAATGGATCCTGAAGTTCCCAGTCCCATCATGACCCCTCTCAGCAGGAAGCAGTTGGAAAGACTTAGAGAACTCCCACCCCAATCTATTCCTCTTCAGGGTCTGGAATAAAGGGAGATTGCACAGAAAAACCCCAGACCAGTTATAAGCCCCTCCCCTCCATGGGCCTTATTGGAGCAGTGTTGTCAGCCCTTATTTTGGAAATGTGGCCCCAGAACAAACTCCCCCTGCTCCTAACCATAAAGCAATTCCTGTTCTGTAAACAGGTTCTTCTACCAGAGACCCTTATGGGAACAGTGTGAGTCCTAAGTCCTTTACAAACGTCCCTATCCAACCCCCCAACTTTATCTTTGCATACAAACATACTTAAACTCCCCTGAAGTTGACTGGTGGAGCTGCTGCACTGATTCCCACCAATCAGTTCCTACCCCTCATTGACTATAGTAAGGGTCAATTTGGATGGTCGTGGTTCGTTGCTTTTTTTTTCTGCCTGCGACCCCTATTCCTAACAACTCTAGGCTATGCCAAGTTGACAGTTAAAGCTAACCAGGACAGGTGTCTACCTCTTCATGGCTCTCTGTGAACACACCCATAGTTTGCTGTGGCACCCACCTCTCCATGGTCCTCTGTGAACGAACACACCCATAGTTCACTATGGCACCTGCTACTCCATGACCCACCTGTCTAGGTGCAGTCCCATCACGCTACCCAGCTCACCTTGCCAGTCGACTCGGTGCCCCGTAGGATGCACAGATACACAATCAGCCAGGCCAGGGTGAGGCACAGAGCTGACTCCCACTGCACATTTCCGTTCTCCTGGATGGACGGTGAGATGTTGAGTGTTTTCCTGTACCAGAAATACTGCGTGGACGAAGCCTTCTCACACTCCTCATCATAGCCTGTGCGGTTGCCATTCAGTGGGCAGACAGACCATGGCAAGGGATCCTTTGGACCAAGCAAGAATTGAAAGAGGTAAGGGGAAGGCCAACGTCTGGGAGGCACCCTTGGCAGGAGGATCTTGGAAGAGAAGGAAGCTGGTCCCCCAAGGGTAGATGGCTGCAGCTTCCAAAGCTGACAGGGTTGTTGGGGGCATGGATGGGCTAGAGAAGGAATGGTATGGTTTGGATGTTGAACATTCCCCAAAGGTCCAGACCTAGAGGCTGGGTCCTCTGGATGGCTGTATGAGGAGGTGCTGCTGAGCTTTAGGAGCTGGGGGTTAAGTGAGAAGCTGTTATGTCATTGGGGGTATGCTTTCCAAGGGACTATGCCTCTTGCTCTCTATTCTTGTTTGATCCTGACCATTTCTCCTATATGTGCTTTCTCCCTGATGTTCTGCTATCTCTCACCTTCAGTAGAGGCCAAACCTGTGGGGCCATCTGATTTTGCACTTTGAAACTTCTGAGCTGTGAATGAACAGAACTTTGCCTCTGGTATTTTGATGTAGTGGTGTAAATCAGAGTAATGTGTTATTTATTGCAGTCCTGAAGTGATTGTGACTCTTTGATGGGTCTAGAAGACTCTGTTTCTAGTATTGGATGGACAATGGCCAGACCAGCTATGACACTAGAACTCTGATCCAGCACCTATGCAGCAACCAACCCAGGAGCTTAACCACCAAGTTCAGAAGCAGGATGGTCAGGACTTGTCAGTGACTTGTGGAGTCTTGTTATTTTCCTCCAAACTCAGAATAAGCCAGAGAAAACAAATGTGCTCTGCAAGCTACCAAACAGTTGGCTCACCTCCAGCTTTCCCAAGCCAACAATGGAGTAGACAGGTGTTTCCTTCCATGGACATTGGGTGTGGAAACGAGAGGGAGATAAGGGTCAGCACCTTGAAGCCACCAATGCCTTGAGCCCAAAATATTGGCACTAGTGACTTTGAGCATAAATCCATTGCCTGAGTTTGGCAGTTAGATGCTGCACTCTGTAGGGTGGAGCCAGTGAAGCCCTCTTCTGCTTTAGTTAGTTTGAACTGGGTTCTCTGGCACTTCTGAACAAAGGGGCTGAAATTATGTCTGTTCAATGATGATAACCCAAGGCCAAGTGCTCAACAGAGGTATTGACCAGGGTCAGATGGTGGTGTGGGAATAAGCCTGCTGTGCTAAGACCAGTCCCCTGTTAACTAGGTTGAATGTATCTGGGTTCGATGAGCTCAGATTAAAAATTTTGGATTTATTTGTATTTATTTTATGTGTCTAAGTGTTTTGCCTACATGTATTTAAGTGCATGCAGTGCCCGAAGAGGCCAGTAGAAGGCATAAGTTCCCCTGAAACTAGAGTTAAGGATGGATGTGGGTGCTGGGAACCTAACCCAGGTCCTCTGTGAGAGCAGCCAGGGCTCTTAACTGCCGAGCCAGCTCTCCAGCCCCATGAGCTCAGATTTGTTGCACAAAAATGTTCTACAAACAGAAACAAGTCTCAGCAACCTCTTGGTTTCACAGTCACATTTCACCCAACGCCCAGTGGCATCACCCAGCGGGCCATGGCTACTGTATGTGACAGCAGGAGCCAGGTCTGCACTTCCAAGAGTACTTATCTCTGTGTGCGTAAGACCCTGGCTCCAAGAAGACCTTGCTGGTGGATATGAGAGCTGTCTTCCAGCTCTGACCTGGACATTCCACAGATATCCACCCACTGCTCCTCATCTCTCTGATTCCTGGACCAGTTTCTCTGCCTGTGCGTGGAACACCTCAATCTTAGAAGCCTAGTACATGACTGGAAATGCTCACCTATCCCTCAAGCTCCCTTCAGGCTGTAATTCTCAGACTTTTCCCCTCCTCCCAGCAGGGAACACTGCATCCTCTTCCTTTCTTACTCCTGCTCTGGCCATGACTCAGCTCACCTGGAAGGAGTGGAAGAGGTACCAGACAGCCCAGGTGTTGATGACGTTGTAATAGACAGAGACCAAGAAGGAGACCACCAAGCTAGCAATCCCTGCAAGGAATCAGAGGGGGGGGGGCTGAGGACCAGGTATGGGTGGCCCAACATGTGGGCCTAGCTTACTCCTAGGACAGACCTGACATGCCCACTCAGGGCAGAAACGTGTCCCCTCCATGTTTTTATCTATGACCTGTTCCCAAGATTTCTTCCCTCAACCACTTGTTATTTGGAATTGCTGTTGACAGTTTTCTGACATCTAGGTGCCAGGTCCCAGGCACAGTACTTCATGTATCTTTTGTCCTCACTACAGTATCATCCTTATTTCATAAAGGAGAAAACTGAGGCACTGAGCTTATCCAAGACCACCCAGTAGAATTAGGATGCAAGCACCGTGGGAGAAGTGCCATCCATATGATTTTTTAAAAAAATATTATTTTATGTGTACAAGTGTATTGCCTGCATGTATGTGAGTGCACCCATGTCGTACAGTGCTGCAAAGGTCAGAAGAGGGCATTGGATTCCCCTGGAACTGCCATGTGGGTGCTGGGAATCGAACCCCGGTCCTCTACAAGAGCAGTCAGTGCTCTTAACCGCTGAGCCATCACTCCAGCCCATGTCCATATGATTGATGTGACAATCACTCCATTTAGAGGTTGAGTCACTGAGGTCAAACTCATCTCTCTGGTGTCAGGAGCGAAGGGATAAGGCTGAGGTGTGAGTCATGGAAGACACTGGCTCCACTGCCCTAGGCAGACTTGTGAAGGACCTAGAGTGGTACTGTGGACAGAGGGAGGGTGTGCCACCAGGTTGCTCGGGAGTGGACTCACATTGGCCCTCAGGAGCACCGTCCTCAGCTCTTCCTATCCCACATGTACACAGGACAGCTCTAAGTTGCTGACATTGATCTTGGTGGAGTGCACCAATATCAAAACCACCACAGAGTAATTCCCTCCCAACCTGCTGGGACTGCAGCCAGTAAGTGGGTGCTATGCTGGATAGTTTCAGTCGTTAACTTGACGTACTTGGGAAAAGGAAATTTCAGTTGGGAGATTTCTTCCATCAGATTGGTCTGTGGGCATGTCTGGGAAGCATTTTCTTGATTGCTAAGTGATATAGGAGGAACCCAGCTCACTGTGGGCAGTGCCACTCCTGGAAAGGTGGTTCAGGGTTGAATAAAAAAGTAGGTGGAGGTCAGGAAAGTAAGCCAGTAAGCAGCGTTCCTCCATGGTCTCTGCCTCAGTTCCCGTCTACAAGTTCCTGCCCTAAGATCCTGCCTGGCTTCCCTCCATGATGGACTGTGAGCTGTAAGGTGAACCCTTTTCTCTCCAAGTTGCTTTGGTCATGGTGCTTATCATGGCAATAGAAAGTGAAATAGGGCAGGTGCCTCATCTCTTAGGGGCCCAGCAAGCTGCTTTCTTCCTACTCAACTGTATTGACCCCTCCTCACTCTTGAATCATTTCCTTCCTTTCTGGGCAGGAAGTTGTACAGAAAAACCAAGGCCATTGAAAGTGCTGGCTCCTGGACATTTACAGAGCAAATGAACTGTGTCCTGGAGGAGCCAGGGGACAGTGACTGGAGGTCACTCTGGAAAGGCCTTGGGGAAGCAGGTCCACCTGGCATGGACAGGGGCCTTGGCTTCCACAGCCTGGCAACATTGATGGTGCCCCACAGCCCCTGAGTGGTATGGTGGTGATGAAATGAGCTCACACACTTGTATGCCATGTCAGCACCAGGCACCTATTAATTGTGTGTGTCCCCAGATAGTGACTGACTGGGACTGAATGAGTGCTCCTGAGGCAGTCAGCTATGTCCAACCTTTCACTGACTTCCAAGCTGAGGCCCAAAGAGGAGATGCCCTGTGGTAGGAGTTTCCCTGGGTACTGCCAGTGGAGAGTCAGAATCCAGGCCCCTCTGTACCCAAATACCATGGCAGCCCTTCCTGGGCTATTGGTCTACCTAGTCACAAGCCTTGCTCGTGAACTGTCACCTACACACCTGTGATGCCCAGGAGACATACAGGTCTCTGGCAGGGGGAAAGGATTCCACATACCGACACCACTGAGGTAGGGGCTGATGGTCCTCCAGGCACCGATGCTTCCCTGCCTCATGCGCTGCCCCACAGCCAGCTCCAGGTACAAGAGTGGCATCCCTTCCACGATGAGCATGATGATGTAGGGGACCAGGAAACTCCCTGTAGGAAGCCAGAGCTGAGCACCAGGCCAGTGTCGACAGATGGGCCTTACCTGCCCCCACTTCTGTGCACTGGCCCTCCTATCAGCCTGCCTTTCCACCATCCAGTCCTCCTTCCTCCTCATCCATCCACCCTCCAATGTTTCCACTCGGCCTTCATTCTTCTACCTGTATGTATTCCACCTTCTACATGTCCATCCCTCTGCCATCCTTCTGTCATCCCTCTGACCATCTATCTTCATCCATCCATTCCTCCATCCATTCCTCCATCCATCCATCCATCCATCCATGGATGACATGTAGTCATGTCAGTTATTTAAATCTCTGAATATTACTACCTTGGAAGGTAAAATGCCACTGACTCCAGCTCCTTGGGTGTCATCCTCCAGACCTTGGCTGGCCCAGTCCTTCTGGCAGAGCACAGATCTATCCTTTCTCTTTTTAAATTCTGTGTGTTGTTGGGGGTAGGTGTGTGTGCATACCATGGTGTGTGTGGAGGTCACAGGACAACTTTGTGGAGTTGGTTCTCTCCTTCTACTTTCATGTGGGTTCTGGGGATTGAACCCAGGCCACCAAGTTTGTGTGGCAAATGCTTTTATCCTCTAAGTCATCCTGCTGGCTGCTACCCTCTTTCTGTACTTATGGGTGATTAAAGGTTGGACCAATGAGTTACTGCATGTTTTGAACATCTCTCCTGAGTCTGTCCATCTCTCTTTTCACAGCTACATAAGGTGGTGTCTGGAACCAACCTTTGCTAAGCTTTTACTATGGTCATAGCTAAGGGTTGGATGAGAGATCAGTAAATTTGTTCCCTGCCATGGAGGGGTCAACTGGTCAGCAAGATGGTGGATACTTCATAGTTGCCTCGACTGCAGAATGTACCTTCAGGCCTGATGTCTTCAGTGATGGCTTGGTGGCTTGGCAAGTATGGGATGGGTGAGCTAGGAGAATCCCCAGGACCCAGAGCTTCAGACCACATCCTCCTTTTACAGAGAATCTCTGTGTATCTGCTTTAAATAGGTATCTTCAATCTAAAATATCATTTTGGTAACAGTGACTCAAAAATCTTCAAACCTGATCTGGAGAGATGGCTCAGTGGTTAAGAACACTGGTTGTTCTTGCAGAAGACCCGGGTTCGAATCCCAGCACCCACATGTCAGCTAATGACTGTCTGTAACTCCAGTCCCAGGGGATCCGACAGCCTCTTCTGTTCTCCAAACTGAGGCACTGAGCTTATCCAAGACCACCCAGTAGAATTAGGATGCAAGCACCGTGGGAGAAGTGCCATCCATATGATTTTTTAAAAAAATATTATTTTATGTGTACAAGTGTATTGCCTGCATGTATGTGAGTGCACCCATGTCGTACAGTGCTGCAAAGGTCAGAAGAGGGCATTGGATTCCCCTGGAACTGCCATGTGGGTGCTGGGAATCGAACCCCGGTCCTCTACAAGAGCAGTCAGTGCTCTTAACCGCTGAGCCATCACTCCAGCCCATGTCCATATGATTGATGTGACAATCACTCCATTTAGAGGTTGAGTCACTGAGGTCAAACTCATCTCTCTGGTGTCAGGAGCGAAGGGATAAGGCTGAGGTGTGAGTCATGGAAGACACTGGCTCCACTGCCCTAGGCAGACTTGTGAAGGACCTAGAGTGGTACTGTGGACAGAGGGAGGGTGTGCCACCAGGTTGCTCGGGAGTGGACTCACATTGGCCCTCAGGAGCACCGTCCTCAGCTCTTCCTATCCCACATGTACACAGGACAGCTCTAAGTTGCTGACATTGATCTTGGTGGAGTGCACCAATATCAAAACCACCACAGAGTAATTCCCTCCCAACCTGCTGGGACTGCAGCCAGTAAGTGGGTGCTATGCTGGATAGTTTCAGTCGTTAACTTGACGTACTTGGGAAAAGGAAATTTCAGTTGGGAGATTTCTTCCATCAGATTGGTCTGTGGGCATGTCTGGGAAGCATTTTCTTGATTGCTAAGTGATATAGGAGGAACCCAGCTCACTGTGGGCAGTGCCACTCCTGGAAAGGTGGTTCAGGGTTGAATAAAAAAGTAGGTGGAGGTCAGGAAAGTAAGCCAGTAAGCAGCGTTCCTCCATGGTCTCTGCCTCAGTTCCCGTCTACAAGTTCCTGCCCTAAGATCCTGCCTGGCTTCCCTCCATGATGGACTGTGAGCTGTAAGGTGAACCCTTTTCTCTCCAAGTTGCTTTGGTCATGGTGCTTATCATGGCAATAGAAAGTGAAATAGGGCAGGTGCCTCATCTCTTAGGGGCCCAGCAAGCTGCTTTCTTCCTACTCAACTGTATTGACCCCTCCTCACTCTTGAATCATTTCCTTCCTTTCTGGGCAGGAAGTTGTACAGAAAAACCAAGGCCATTGAAAGTGCTGGCTCCTGGACATTTACAGAGCAAATGAACTGTGTCCTGGAGGAGCCAGGGGACAGTGACTGGAGGTCACTCTGGAAAGGCCTTGGGGAAGCAGGTCCACCTGGCATGGACAGGGGCCTTGGCTTCCACAGCCTGGCAACATTGATGGTGCCCCACAGCCCCTGAGTGGTATGGTGGTGATGAAATGAGCTCACACACTTGTATGCCATGTCAGCACCAGGCACCTATTAATTGTGTGTGTCCCCAGATAGTGACTGACTGGGACTGAATGAGTGCTCCTGAGGCAGTCAGCTATGTCCAACCTTTCACTGACTTCCAAGCTGAGGCCCAAAGAGGAGATGCCCTGTGGTAGGAGTTTCCCTGGGTACTGCCAGTGGAGAGTCAGAATCCAGGCCCCTCTGTACCCAAATACCATGGCAGCCCTTCCTGGGCTATTGGTCTACCTAGTCACAAGCCTTGCTCGTGAACTGTCACCTACACACCTGTGATGCCCAGGAGACATACAGGTCTCTGGCAGGGGGAAAGGATTCCACATACCGACACCACTGAGGTAGGGGCTGATGGTCCTCCAGGCGCCGATGCTTCCCTGCCTCATGCGCTGCCCCACAGCCAGCTCCAGGTACAAGAGTGGCATCCCTTCCACGATGAGCATGAGGGGACCAGGGACCAGGAAACTCCCTGTAGGAAGCCAGAGCTGAGCACCAGGCCAGTGTCGACAGATGGGCCTTACCTGCCCCCACTTCTGTGCACTGGCCCTCCTATCAGCCTGCCTTTCCACCATACCTTCCTCCTTCCTCCTCATCCATCCACCCTCCAATGTTTCCACTCGGCCTTCATTCTTCTACCTGTATGTATTCCACCTTCTACATGTCCATCCCTCTGCCATCCTTCTGTCATCCCTCTGACCATCTATCTTCATCCATCCATTCCTCCATCCATTCCTCCATCCATCCATCCATCCATCCATCCATCCATCCATCCATCCATCCATGGATGACATGTAGTCATGTCAGTTATTTAAATCTCTGAATATTACTACCTTGGAAGGTAAAATGCCACTGACTCCAGCTCCTTGGGTGTCATCCTCCAGACCTTGGCTGGCCCAGTCCTTCTGGCAGAGCACAGATCTATCCTTTCTCTTTTTAAATTCTGTGTGTTGTTGGGGGTAGGTGTGTGTGCATACCATGGTGTGTGTGGAGGTCACAGGACAACTTTGTGGAGTTGGTTCTCTCCTTCTACTTTCATGTGGGTTCTGGGGATTGAACCCAGGCCACCAAGTTTGTGTGGCAAATGCTTTTATCCTCTAAGTCATCCTGCTGGCTGCTACCCTCTTTCTGTACTTATGGGTGATTAAAGGTTGGACCAATGAGTTACTGCATGTTTTGAACATCTCTCCTGAGTCTGTCCATCTCTCTTTTCACAGCTACATAAGGTGGTGTCTGGAACCAACCTTTGCTAAGCTTTTACTATGGTCATAGCTAAGGGTTGGATGAGAGATCAGTAAATTTGTTCCCTGCCATGGAGGGGTCAACTGGTCAGCAAGATGGTGGATACTTCATAGTTGCCTCGACTGCAGAATGTACCTTCAGGCCTGATGTCTTCAGTGATGGCTTGGTGGCTTGGCAAGTATGGGATGGGTGAGCTAGGAGAATCCCCAGGACCCAGAGCTTCAGACCACATCCTCCTTTTACAGAGAATCTCTGTGTATCTGCTTTAAATAGGTATCTTCAATCTAAAATATCATTTTGGTAACAGTGACTCAAAAATCTTCAAACCTGATCTGGAGAGATGGCTCAGTGGTTAAGAACACTGGTTGTTCTTGCAGAAGACCCGGGTTCGAATCCCAGCACCCACATGTCAGCTAATGACTGTCTGTAACTCCAGTCCCAGGGGATCCGACAGCCTCTTCTGTTCTCCATGGGCACTGCACAACACAGGTGCACTTACCTACATGCAGGAATACCACTCATACACATGGAATAAAAATGATAAAAAAAAAGTAAAACAAAACAAAAAGTGTTAAAGAAATCTTCAAACCTATGAATTCCTAAAGAACTGTTTGTGAATGGGGCTGTAAACACCCTCCCCACTGCCAGACACACACAGAGACAGACTAGGGTGCAGGGCTGACCACCAGGTCTGCAGTCTGCTGCATGGAGGCTGACCTCGCCTCCTCCGGGAGCCCCTGTCATCCCTCCCAGCTCATGGCTCCTTGGCTGGGGACCTGGGAAAAGTCCAGTGGGAGAATAGCATGCCTGACATTGACAGCAGCAGGAATTGAGGGCTGCTTGCAGAGGGAACTGGTTCCTTGGCATTAAAGAAAATACGGATGCACATAGACTGGCACAAACCCTGATGATCACAAAGGCCTCTGTAGCATACATGGGTTACTTGTGCCTGGGGCTTCTCACTCAGTAGAAGTTTGCACTCTCCTGACCATAAATAGATCTTAGCACTCTCTTAAACTGTTGCAGGGCATTCTGCTCTTAAAACATTGCTCAGTCTACTCAACCTGGGCCCTCAGGTTATATTCACTGTCCCGCTTTCCTAAACCAAGTTGTGGAACTCAGGTGGCTCACTTATTGGATTATTCCTGGAGCTCCAGAATCCAGAAGTTGAACAGCTAGCCCGGAGGCCCTGCAGAGCACTGTGACAACATGATAGAAGGAACAGGAGACAGCACCTACCCACTATAGCAGGCAGACCCTGCCCATTTGTCCTGTGTGCAAGTCTGAACACAACCCTCTCACTCAGGAGGCTCTGCCAGGCTGAGACCACCCTTCACCAGCTTCCTCTCCATTCCAAAAGGAAGCTGAACCCAGGGGGTGGCTGTCCCCAGGAGATACTTGATACTAGAGGCTGTGTTCCCTTAGCTGTGTGGAGTTACACTCTAACATTCAGAGTTATAAGATAATCTCATTTTCACCAAAAGTGTTAAATAGTAACCACAACAGTGGTCCTGGCAAGGCCCATGGTCAGTTTGTCTCTGTAACAGAACCTGCTTGTTTGTCTGGTACCCAGGTTCCAGTGGAGATCCAAGGCAATGCCGAGGTGAGAGCTTGGGCACCTGCAGCTCTGCCCAGGAATCATTTTCTTTTTCTTTTTTTCCCCTGAGCCCTTCTCCAGCTCATCTCCAGTATTCTGGGTCCTGAGACCCTGAAAATATCAAGAAAGACCCCATGGTTTTCTGTTTCCTGAGAGGCAGCGAGGTAGGAGGGACCAAGATGAAAGTTCAATACCAACTGACTGCTGGTCTCTCTCCATTCCCTCTAGCATGCACACGGTGAGGACTAAGAAGATGTTTAAGGTCCAACAACAAGCTGAGGGGGTATGTGGCTCTGCTGACAGTGGCCAGTATTGTCTAACGGTGATGCCATACCATGTTCTAGTATTTTCTTCTTGTTCTTTTGTTTGTTATTTTGAGACAGGGTCTCCCTGTAGTCTCAGCTGGCCTGGAACTCGCTATGTAAACCAGGCTGGCCTTGAACTCACAGAGATCCACCTGCCTCTGCCTCCCGAGTGCTGGGATTAAAGGCGTGCACCACCACACCAGCCCAACAGTCATTTTCATCAGTCCTCCACACTCAAAACGCAGTTCAGACAAATGAGCCCTGCAATTCTTTTGTCAAGAAAATGACACAAGACCAACTGGATATCACGAACCTTAATCCACATTATGCATTTCATAGTTACACATGTACAACCGGAGGTAAAAACTTAGAGAAGGCAAGGAGGAAACCTTTATGATCCCGGGTTAGGCAAAGATGTTTTAGATACCATAGAAAGACCCTGGCTGTGGCGGAGAAGGCCAAACTTCCTCCCTGCGGGATTCTGGATGAGTTCTCTGGAGGTGACGTCTAGTGGTCCTGTAATTCATCTAGATCCCAGAGAGCCTGAAGTTTCAGCTGCTGCACCTGTACCTGCTTCATTCACACTCACCTCCACCATACATCTGGCACAGGTAGGGGAAGCGCCACACATTGCCCAGGCCCACTGCATAGGAGACACAGATAAGTAAGAACTGCATCGGGTTGCCCCACTTTGGCCGTGCCTTCTCCCTGGCCCCTGGTTCAGCATACTCTGCTCCCTCTAGTCTTCCTGGGTGCTGACCAGGGCATCTTGGGCTTCCCCAGGGCTGCAGCTCCTCGTCTTCTGGCAGGGAGGCCACATGTGCTGGTGACTCCATCCTTTGGGACAGCTCCTGCTGCAGCATACAAACCCCTCTGCTCTCCTGTGGACTCCAGGCCCCTTCAGCCTTTCTATCTCTTGGGCCTGAGCATCAGCTTTCTACTCCCCCAGGCGTGGCTCTGGCCTTCCTGATTCTCCCAGTGCCTCCTTCTCTGCTCTACACCCTCCCTCCCACCTTCCTCCCACCAACCTTTGGCCACATTCCTTTCTCTGCCCCAGGCCACTGAAACTCAAGGACGTCTGGGCTCCTCAGGCTGCTGTTAGGGGCTTCACAAATTTCCAAAGACATGATTGCATTTGCTGGAGATGGGTGGTGAGCTGGCAAGTGATCAGTTACTACAGAAAAACACTGATCTATGTTTGCCAATTCTATGGTGTGAATATTCCCACTATGGCTCATCCCTGAGCCACTAACACAGTTCACTGAGCCTACGTAGTAGTGTACCTGCCCTAGCACCTTCAATAACACAGGTAGTCTCCAGAGCATAGCTGATAATAAACAACAGTAAATAATCAGAAATGATGTGTTTTGAGTATTATCTCTGATTTAAAGAATTTATGCAGTCACTCAGACCTTAGAATGGCTGTGTTTAACAACCAGCTCACCTAAGAGAGGAAACTCAGTTCTCTGGGGTCTTGGTGGACCCAACAGCAGGAGTTTCAGCCCAACTAGATCCCACCTGAGTATTCCTAGGAGGCTGCCCAGGCCTATGAGATTTTCTGTGCATCAGACCTTCACCGTGCCCACATCAATCAGGACATAAAAGGCCAATGAGTCTGGGTTACGTGATTTTTTAAGGAAGGGGAAAAATGGGGCAACTCCCTGCTGAGTTGCATGGGTATAGGCCACTAAGCATGGCCCAGGGTTCCACATTCTTCCCCAACTAATATGAGGTCTTGCAGCTTTCAATGATTTGCTCATCCTGATGAGTCCTTTGTTAATTAATCATTTGGGTTTCCTATTCCCTAACAAGAGAAAGTCCAAACTCCTTAGCTATGGTTGCAAGGCCTCAGAGTTATTTTGCTGTTCTAGTTCTTTTTCTTTCTTTCTTTTTTTTAGAAAGATAGGATCTCACTATATACCCCTGGCTAACCTGGAACTCACTACGTAGACAAGGCTGGCCTTAAACTCACAGAGATCCAAGTGCTGGAATCAAAGGAATGTGCCAACCATGCTTGGGTTTCTTTTGAGATGGGGGTCTTGCTAAATTGCCCAGGTTGGCCTCCAATCTTCCTGCTTCAGTCTCTTAAGTAGTGGTATTATATGAGTGCCTCACCATACCTGGCTCATGTTGACTTCTTCTTTTTTAAGTACTTATTAATTATTTTTATGTATATAGGATATTGCTTGCTTGTAGGTAGGTGCACTGAAGTCATGCAATGCCCTCAGAGGTCAGAAGACGGTGTTGAGTAACCTGGAACTGGAATTGTGGTCAGCTGTTAGCCGCAATGTGGGTGCTTGGGAACCATACCTGAGTCCCCTGCAAGAACAGCCAGTGCTCTTAACTGCTCACCCCAGTCCCTCATGTTGACTTCTAATTTTAAAATTACCCTGTATCCCTGTTCAGCATGGAAGAAGCCAGAGCAGTCTGCATCCCTATTGGCAATTTGGGTAACCCCTTCAGAGGATGGTGTGATAAAAATAGGAGGTAGGCATTGGCTTGGCAGTTTGGGGTAAAGTACCAGAGGAAAAGATGCCAGTTTGTTGGGTCAAAGTCAAAATGTCTTTGGTCCTGTTAGCAACATACTCTGTTCCAAAGGCCAAAAATGTCAAAAGTATTTGGGAGTTTGTATCTAACCCTTAAAAGATTTTAGGGTTACTTCTTCAGATGGGGGTAATGTTGGAGGGGAGGGAGTGGGCATGGATTTGATCAAAACACCTTATATGCATGTATGAAATTCTCAATAAAGTTTTGTACAAGTTAAAAAAAAGTTAAAAAAAAAAAGATACTAGACATGGTGGCACATGCCTTTAATCCCAGCATTTGGGAGGCAGAGGCAGGTAGATCTCTGTGAATTCAAGGCCAGCCTGGTCTACATAGTGAGTTCTAGGACAGCTGGGGCTACAGGGAGACCCTGTCTCAAAAAGACCAGAAAAAAAAGAAAGAAAATAGAAATCTGTGAAAAATCCGGTGAAGGAGAAACTGGTTGTAGTGTTGAACAGGGATATCTATTAGTGTGAAGTGTGACAATGAATGAAAAGAGACTGAACAATTTGTATTTCTTTGGAAATTGCCATTAAATATAATTATTCAAAACAGAGAGTACAACCATAAAAGGCAAAAAGACAATGCATAAAAAAATTATACATTATACATTATTTGAGATTTGTCTTGTGGCCTAACTTGTCTTGTGGTGTTCCTGGGGAAGTTCAATGTGCTGATGTTGTATAAATGTTTTGCTTTGAAATGATATTTGACTCCTTAATCTTTATACAATGACCTTCTTGTCCTTTTCCACAGATTTTAAATTTATTTTGTTTTGTTTTTGAGACAGTTTCCCACTGTGTAGCCTAGTCCTAGAATTCATGGAACTTGCCATCTTCCTGCTGCAGCCTCTCAAATAGTGGGATTTCAGGCATGTACCACCGCATGCGGCTCTTTTTACGGTTTTTGGTGTGGTGTCTATTTGATGTGAGCAGAGGTATTCCCACTGGCCTTTTGTTCCTGCCTGTGAGGAGCAGTGTTCTCAGGCCTACACGCTCAGTCTACTTCTAGAAAGTTCTTCACAAGAAGCCTGCAGTTGTGTCTTGATTTTCTTTTCTTTTAAAATCTACCCAGTCAATCTGAATCTTTTAATGGGAGGGTTTAATCAGTTTACATCCATGGTTAGTACAGATAGGTAACAACCTTTTTTCATTTTGTTGCTTTCTATTCTACATCTCTTTTGTCCTTCTTCCTCTCTACCATTAATCTTTTCTTAAAAGTTATTTTTACTTTATGTGTGAGTGTTTTGCCTGCATGTGCATAAATGCACCCATGAATGCAGTGCCCAAAGAGGCCAGAAGAGAGTGTCAGATTCCCTAGAACTGGTGTTATGGACAGTTGTTAACAGCCATGTAGGTGCTGGGAACTGAACCCTAGTCCTTTCTCTGGAAGAGCAGCTAGTGCTCTTGACCACTGAGCCATTCTCCAGCTCTTCCTTAATCCTTTAAAAAAAGATTTGTTTTGTTTGTTTATGTGTGTGTGTATTATGTGTGTGTGAGTATATGCTCACATTTGTGCTGATGCTCGGGCCTGTGCATGCACAGAGGCCACAAGCTGTGGAATACCTTGAAGATGTTGCAGGCCTTTGTGAGATAGCCAGCTGGGCTCTGAACTCCAGTGCTCCCTCATGCTGTACTATCTGTCCGGATCCTCTATTGTTATTCTTTGTGACTTGGTTTTCTGCAGTAAGGGCTTGATTCTCTTCCCTTTCTTCTTTGTGCACCCACTTTACTTTGAGTTTCCATCTTTGTGTTTCACTTCTAGAAGGAGGATGCCCTCAGCTTTTCTTACAAGGCTGACCTAGTCGGCATGAACTTCTCAAGTTTCCTTGTCAGAGAGTCTATAACTTATTTCAGATTATTGTTATGCTGTTCCATATTATCGTCTATTGTTGATAATCTCTAAGTGTTCCTACTTTAAAGTTTATCATAAGTATGTATATTAAAAAGTAATGTATAGTTCGCTCCTCTTCTTGGTTTTAAGGCTTCCACTAGGATCTTAGACGGTATCTTCTGCAGCATAAAGACAACTATATTTGTCATTTTTTTCTTTAAATTAATTCAATTTTCCCTTAAATATATTTTAAAATGAGATTTTATATTACCATCTCTCATGTAATTTATAATATAAAGCAAATATTAAAAACTTTAAAACGACTCCTGGCACAGTAGAAACAAATTTCTGTATTCTTAGTGGTGAACATCATACTTGAAAAGCTTGGATTTTATCCACAAACTGTGCCTCAGAGCCCTAAAATTCCCTGAATTTGTCTGTAGACTGAGTCCCCATGGTTTTTAGTTGTGGTGGGGGTGTGGAGGGGGAGAAGTGTGGTTCAACCAGTGAAAAACAAAAGTCAGGCGCCATGAAGTCCCTCAGGCAGGTCGCGTACCGGTCAAGAATTCTAACTTACTGATAAACAAGTTTTATGGTTGAGACATCTGGCTTACTGATAAACAAGTTTTATGGTTGAGACATCTGGCTTACTGATAAACAAGTTTTATGGTTGAGACATCTGGCTTACTGATAAACAAGTTTTATGGTTGAGACATCTGGCTTACTGATAAACAAGTTTTATGGTTGAGACATCTGGCTTACTGATAAACAAGTTTTATGGTTGAGACATCTGGCTTACTGATAAACAAGTTTTATGGTTGAGACATCTGGCTTACTGATAAACAAGTTTTATGGTTGAGACATCTGGCTTACTGATAAACAAGTTTTATGGTTGAAACATCTGGTCATCCACGTCTGTGTCCAGAGGTCACCACCCATTTAGCCACCCTACTTTCTCATACCTTGTACCCGCTTTCCCCATAGCATTTTGTAATAGTTTGAATTAGCCAATAACCGCGCTTCTGCTTCTGTATCCCGCTTCTGCTCTATAAAAGTTCCAAAAACCCGGCCTGAGGCACGCAAGTCCTCCGAGGAGACTTTGTGCCCACAGGTACCTGTGTACTAAATAAACCTCTTGCTGTTGCAACCCGAAGGCTGACTTGTCCTCAGTGGTTTCACTCTTACAATAAAACCAGAAGAAACAGAAAATCAGGGAGAACCAATTCTTTGTCAGTGTGAGGGCTTATTTTTCTTCAACAATTATACTAGTCTTTGAAATTACACTAATTCTGTCAGTACAACTCTGAATGACATAAGAATATATCAATATATACATCTTTTATAAGAGTATGTCAATATAATAAAATGTAGGTTTCATTGTGATA